TTCATAATGGAAGAGATCCACAAAATTATTTTTTGATGTCTAAGATCCCTAAACATATATCAGAGAAATTTGACTGTCTAGGGTCCTTCTCTCTCTCTCTAAACGTATCTATCTCCTTCTCGTCCAGTCAAATCCCAGAAGGAAAATTGCCAGAAGATCGTAAGGAGGCACACAAAGTCAGATTGAAATCTGCCAGATTCAGTCTGACAGCAGATGGACACCTCTACAGAAGGTCCTTCACTGGACCCCTTTTAAGGTGCGTACACCCTTTGCAGGTTGAAGATTTCCTATATGAAATTCATGAAGGAATTTGTGGAAGCCATGCTGGGGGCAGATCATTAGCCCACAGGGCCATTACCCAGGGGTATTGGTGGCCCTACATGCAAAAGGATGCTGAAGCCTACGTGAAGAAGTGTGAACAATGCCAAAGGTTTGCACCTTTGATACATCAGCCAGCTGCTGACCTAAACCCCGTGTCCAGCCCTTGGCCGTTTGCCCAATGGGGCATGGATCTGGTTGGGAAACTTCACCAGGCAACTGGGTAGAGAAAATACTTGCTGGTAGCAACAGATTACTTTACCAAATGGATAGAGGCAGAACCTCTTGCCAAAATCCGAGATGTGGACGTCAAGAACTTTATATGGAGAAACATCATCACCAGATTTGGCATCCCAAGAGCAATAGTTGCCGACAACGGAACACAGTTTGACAGCAAACCCATCAATAACTTTTGTGTCAAATTCAAGATCAAGAACTACTTTTTAACACCAAGTTTTCCCCAAAGTAATGGTCAAGCAGAAGCATCCAACAAAGTAATTTTGGATGGAATAAAGAAGAAGCTGCAGGCAGCAAAAGGAAAGTGGGTAGACGAGTTGCCCAACGTGCTTTGGGTATATCAGACTACGCCGAGAAGATCAACAGGGGAATCTCCCTTTGCCATGGCTTATGGCACAGAAGCAGTCATCACATTGAAGATCGGCATCCCAGGGATCAGGACCTAGGGAGTAGAGAATGGCACTAACGACATAGTCTTAGCCCGAGATCTGAACCTTTTGGAAGAACGAAGAGAAAAGGCTGCAATTCAGCTAGCAATATACCAGCAGCAACTTGCTAGAGCTTACAACAAAAAAGTCAATCCAAGAGATTTTCAAGTCGACGACCTAGTCTTGAGAAAAGTCGTCGGTAACAAAAAGGATCCCAGAGAGGGCAAGCTTGGCCCAAACTGGGAAGGACCCTACAGAATTACTTCGATATTAGGCAATGGAGCCTATCGGCTTGAAGATAACGAGGGCAAAGCACTGCCAAGACCTTGGAACACTTGTAATTTAAAATTCTTCTATCATTAGATGAGCAGTATTTTTTGCCGATGTCTTTAATAAAGTTTTTTCAGAATTCTTTCAACACATATGACTGATAAAATTACATGCTGATGTTTTTGGAGACATGAATAATGAGAACCCAAGTAGAACTCAGGTTCACATTGGGGGCAGAAAGAAGAAGAATGCGTTTACCACTTGTTGAAATTTGTAGCAATTTACAAGTTGGTTAAACCAAGATAATGTTTAAAACTGAAATTAAACCGAGATGGTGCTTAACCAAAGTTAAGCCGAGATGATTCCTTAATTCACTTGTTGAAATTTGTAACAATTTACAAGTTGGAGTCAAGCTGATTCCTTAATTCACTTGTTGAAATTTGTAACAATTTACAAGTTGGAATTATGCTGATTCCTTGTCTTCACTTGTTGAAATTTGTAGCAATTTACAAGTTGGAGTCAAGCTGATTCCTTAATTCACTTGTTGAAATTTGTAGCAATTTACAAGTTTGAATTAAGCTGATTCCTTGTCTTCACTTGTTGAAATTTGTAGCAATTTACAAGTTGGAGTCAAGCTGATTCCGAGTCTTCACTTGTTGAAATTTGTAGCAATTTACAAGTTGGAGACAAGCTGATTCCTTAATTCACTTGTTAAAATTTGTAGCAATTTACAAGTTGAAGATAAGCCGAGATTACTATTTCTCTTCACTTGTTGAAATTTACAGCAATTTACAAGTCAAAGTGAAGCCGAGGTTATAGTTTGCAGCTTATAGCAATCTACAGGATTGATCTAACCAAAAGAAGATGCTTAACACTTGTTGAAATTTGTAGCAATTTACAAGATAATGTTAAGCCGGCATGTGATCATCCGTCGAAATTTACAGCAATTTTTAGGTTGAAGTAAAAGCTAAGTATATTGTTCAAACACTTGTTGAAATTTGCAGCAATTTACAAGTAGACCATTATTTAACACTTGTTATAACTTGCGAACAGTTTACAGTATATATTAGTCCTTGTTGAAATTTGTAGCAATTTACAAGATAATGTTAAGCCGGCATGTGATCATCCGTCGAAATTTACAGCAATTTGCAGGTTGAAGTAAAAGCTAAGTATATTGTTCAAACACTTATTGAAATTTGCAGCAATTTACAAGTAGACCATTATTTAACACTTGTTATAACTTGCGAACAGTTTACAGTATATATTAGTCCTCGTTGAAATTTGTAGCAATTTACAAGTGGGTTAGACTGAGATCACAGTTTAAACACTTGTCAAACGTTTGCAGAAGTTGACATTGAATAATACATGTTAAACACTTGTTGGAATTTACTAAGAGTTTGCAGGTCTGTATCTTGCCGAAATAAAGTTTGATGTTATTGTACCCGAGGTACATAATCCCGAGAAGATTGTACAAAGGTGGCAAGACATAAAAGGCATGCAACATATGCTAAGTATAGAATCAAACAGGAGTAATCCAGAGAAAATAAAAATTGAAGCATTCAGAGGAAAACAGTTGCAGTTGTATACAAAAAAGGCACATCGGCCATAAGAGGGAGCTTACATTGTCTAGAAATTGAAAGAAAGTACAAAGTACAAGAAAAGAAAGACATCAAAGTTGTGATTCCTCAGCCCCAGGAGCAGTTTGGGTCTGGACCTCGGAAGTTTCTTGCGAAGCCACTTCGGCAACCTTCTCTGCCGCCAGCTCGGCGTCAATCTCTGCCAGTGTTTTATCGAAACTTCTTTCAGCCAGAAGAAGGTCGGATGACAGCTGCCCTGGAACAGCCTCCTTGGACACCTCCTCAACCTCACCATCCTCTTCATCTTGAGTTAAGTTAATGACCTGCTCAATGGAAGGAAGGGACTTGGCTTCAGCAGCATCCTTGCATTTCCTCACCAGGGCTTCCTCATCATTGTTGTTTTCATCCTCAGCCTCAGACTCTGATTCATCTTCAGCTTGGCTTGGAGGTGGAGATGGAGGAAATGGAAGAGGAATAGCGTCGGCCTGGCGCAGTGGCGAGTCATCTGGGATATTGAGTTTTTTTATCAAGGACATCCAACCAAGGGAAAATCCTTTGTTGGATGCCTGCCTGACTTGAAGTTTATACTCCTCAGTGACGTCGGCCATGCCCTGGGCATAGGCCTTCTCATCGGCTTCTTTGACTTCGGCCTCTTTGGTGGCGAGAGCCTTAAGAAGCTCCTTCTCAGCCTGGGCCTTTTTTACCTCGGCCTCTTTCTTTTCGGCCTCAGCAACTTTTCTAATAGCCTCAGCAGACTCCGCTTTTTCTTCGGCTATCTGTTGGGCCTTAGTAGCGGCCTCGGCCTGATCTTCTAATTTCTTCATCTTTGATTCAAGAGATTTACTATCCTTTTTGAGGGCAGAAACCTCCCTCTTCATATCGACCAATCTTTGTCGATTTTCAAAAGATTGCATTGAAAATGAATGGGCGTGCTGGATGGCCTGAAAGAAAACAGAAGTATTAGAAAATCTTCTAAGTATGAAGCAGAAAGAAAAGACAAAACAGGAAACACTTACTTGAACGGAGTGCTGGAGCATTAGCGCGTAATTCTCATACTCGCTGAACCCAGCATTTCGCTCCAGATCGCTTGGAAGAAGAAGAGCAGTACTGAGGGCGACACCGACATTAAAGTCGTTGGCACTCTCAGTTGACATAATTGGCCTATCCTCCAAAGTCAACTTTGGGGCCCAGGGGACATCGGGTTTCTTGGACCCCGAAGTAGTAGCTGAGGAAGACCTCGGCTTCTTTGATTGGGTGGACTTAGAGGGCTGGGTCTCGGCGGACCTTTTTGAAGGAGCAGAAGAAGTCTTCTTACTCTCAGCCAGTTTTGAGATAGGCAAAGTATCCTCAGTCTCAATCTCAGTAGCCTTGGCCTTAGGCTGGGCCTTCTTGATTCTTTTTGGTTTCGGTGGGGGCATTGGTTGGGTTGGTACAGCATCAGCATCAGCCGGGAGGTCGGCTAGGAGATTTTGGGAAATTGGCTTTGCGCGACCCATTTCGGCAGTTTTGACAAGGCGTCGCCGACGTTTTCTTTTTGGTATTGGGATCAAGTATGGGGCCGAAGTGGATGGTTGATTGGTTGGGTCAGATGTGGACTCTTGATCTGTTCGGGATGAAGAAGCGGTTATAGTTATGGCAGTAGGTGGAAAGAGGCTCTTCTTCTTTTTCTTCGAGACGTCGGGCAATGTGGATTTGTATGTCAGAATAAAGTTTAGTAATAGTGGAACTTTGCGCTTGTGGATTGGAAGATCAAGGAGCTTCTTTAAATCTTTTCCTGGGAAGTACGATTGGCGAAAGTTTTTTGGTGGCTGATGAAGATCTGCAGGACAAACAAACAGACATTAGAAACAGACAAAGTTTTGAAGACTTGAAAAAGAAATAACTAAGTATTGATGCTGAGCTCTTACCCTTGCCCTCTTTAACTGTTCGAGGAAGAGGGTAGAGGTGAACATCTTCGTCTTGACCAAATTCCCAATTTTTCGAAGCAATGAGAAAGTCATCCCCGGCTCCCTTGTTGGAGTCCGGGAGGTCGGCTACAATTTTGAACTCGGTGGACCTCTGCTTGAGGTAGTAGACATAACCTCTTTCCTTCAGGTTAAGGGGGCATATGGTATAACAAAATTGGATATCGGAAAGGGTGATCCTAACGTTCTCTTGGCTAGCTAGGGCTATGATACCATTAATCACTCGATAAGAGTTGATGGTAAGTTGCATAGGGTTCAACTTATAGTAGTGGAGAACCTCGCGAAAGAGGGGATTGAGTGGAAGCCGGAGTCCACATTCAGTTAAGGCTACAATAGAAAAAGGCATCGTATGATCTGTGGGCATGATGGAATCACCATCCCCAGCTAGCCTAAGGTGAACATCGGCTGGGATGGAGAACTCCTGCCTAAAGTATTCAAGTTTTGTTGGGGTATTTACCCGATGTCTCCACATACCCATAACGTCGGCCTAAAGTCAGAAGGCTAGGTCTCAGAAAGGAGGCGTTCTTAAAAGGTTATTGGAACCTCGGCAACAACCTAGGTAAGTATTGGTACGGTTTATTTCAGTTTTCCCTAAATTAAAGGTTCTACAAACAAATCCCAAGCCTAAAAACTATAAAGAACAAGATCAAAGGCACAGATCTGGAAAGGAAAAACAGAAAAAAAGAAACAAAGAATGACGTTTCAGAATCAAGAACAGAGGTATGATTCTCAAAAGCGAAAGAGGTACAGAATTAAAAGGTCAAGAACTATGGCAAGAAAAGTGTTGAAACAGTACAAGTGTTCAAGAGATAAGTGAAATCATGAATGGACACATCCAGATGAACAATCCAAGGTTTGAGCAAAACAAAAATGGCAGCAAGTAAACAAAAGCGCATAGAAGAAATTGAGAATAAGAGAAACGGAATCTTACCAGAACAAATGGAGCCAAAATGAAAGTCGCCGAGGTAGGGCAACGATTGCAGACACAGCAGAACGGCAAACGCTTCGCTGAAATGGAGGAATGAAGACGGTTGTAAAGCTTGGAGTTAGAACAATGGTGGATTTCAGAAAGTTTAGAGAGAGAGAAAACCAGAAATTCGAATGCATAAAGTAAGGAAAAGAAGATAGAAGGAAAAGTTTTGTAAAAAAACTTGAAACGGCGGCAAAAATCAGGGCATTTATTACGCCTGGAGCAACGCACACGTCAGACGGCGCAGACGAGTGAAAGACAGCTTTCAGGCGCGTCGCAGACACGGGCCAATGAAGACAAAGCACGTAAAAGAAACGGTTAGATGTGCATGACAGCTCATGCGCGTGGTGGAGTTCATTTGAATTCTTGATCTCCGAAGAAACACATCGGCTTGAAAATGAATTGTCTCGGCCAAACAGTTTTTGAGCCACTATGTAGAATGAAATATTGATATAGGTTCCATCACCTCAGAATGCCGAAGTAAAGTTACGCCGAGGTGATCTCGGAGTTGCCGAGGTTATCTCCGAAGATATCGGAATCCGAGATAAGCGGATAAGGGACAAGAGGTCTAGGACAAAGAGGAGACTTAGCCAAGATAAGGATAAAGCTTTTAGGGAGTTTATCTTTATCTCTTGAGAAATCCTAAGTGAGCACTGAATTGAAGTCTATAGAAGTCATGCTTCTAGTGGGACTTGGATTGAGTTAACTATAAAAGAGAGGTACCCCCATGGGTCTAAGGTACGCAATTTTATACTCAAGCTTGTGAGTTTAGCACTTGATTATCTTTGAGAGATATACTGACTTGATCGTCGGAGTGCCCCCGGGTGGAAGAGCCACCGCCGGAGCCTTTTTCTTTCTATTACAGGTTACTAAAGTCATCTATTCTGCCGGTACTCTTCAGCTGATTACTATGCGGGCAGTGTGGTAAGAAAATTACTCACACAAAAATAAAAATACATCTATGCACAAATCATTTTTTCTGCCGTAACTTTGACTCAAGTTATTGAATTGAAACATTAATTAAAAAAAAAATGAGTTTTAGTTAAGAAGTGTTCTAAGGTTATTAGTTAACAAAATTTAAAATGATTGTACAATCTTTATAACATGTACTCGCATAAAAAATAAAAAATGTACAACTATTTTAAACTTATTAATAGCACTTATTAAGAAAATTTATAAAGAGTAATAGTTGAAGAATGGTGGTTGATAACTAGGTGAATAAAACAAAGAACACAAACGATTACGCTGATCACTTATAACAAATTTGTATAAAATGCATCTTTAGGTCTCGTTTGTTAATTATATATTTTTATTAAAAAATTAAAAAATTATTATAAATTGTCACGTTACTCTCTTTATTTTTCTACACATCTTTTTAATGTACAACTATTTTAAACTTATTAATAGCACTTATTAAGAAAATTTATAAAGAGTAATAGTTGAAGAATGGTGGTTGATAACTAGGTGAATAAAACAAAGAACACAAACGATTACGCTGATCACTTATAACAAATTTGTATAAAATGCATTTTAGGTCTCGTTTGTTAATTATATATTTTTATTAAAAAATTATTATAAATTGTCACGTTACTCTCTTTATTTTTCTACACATCTTTTTAAGATTAAAAAGTATTAAAATAATCTATTTCTAAACGAGACTTTCCTATTATTATTAGTCACTCTCAAATCAAGTTTGTTTTCCACTAGACAAAGCAAGTTTGTTTTCCACTAGACAAAGTAGGGGCAAATTAGAAATTCTGATCAAGTAGCTCTTTGACACACATGTGGATTATTACTAGGAAAAACAGGAAATGGTTGGTTACCATGCCAGGTTGGAATAATGACTTTTTGACATTTTCCTCCTTACTCATTTTGACATCTTGTATAGTATACCTTGATATAAATATCAAACTCAAGCTTTGCACAGACATGGTAAGAAGTGAGAGAGATCATCATAAAAAAGGAATATAGACTTAGCTATCTCAATGGCAAGGGTATGGATTCTTCTCTTATCACTTTCCATTGTAGGGTTGATGAAGCAGTTGGTGTTGGTGGAAGCAGATTTGCCTGCTATTTACATATTTGGTGATTCAACAGTAGATGTTGGGACAAACCCTCATTTGAGTGAGAGTCTTGCTCAAGCTAACATGTCTTTCAATGGGATTGATTATCCTTTCTCTAATGCAACAGGGAGGTTCAGCAATGGCTACAACACTGCTGACTTGATTGGTATTGAAGAATGCATATCTACTCACTAAGAGCATCATTTACTCATATACATATTTTTTTTTTATGTATATCTATATCCATATCAATATCTATGTGCATGTTTAATTATAGAGTGTGGGGCAGTAAGAACATCTTATGTAACTATTTTATGTTTATTTAGGTATCATTTGGCATATCTTATATTGGTATTCAAGAATGCACATCTACTCACTAAGAGCATCATGTACTCATATACATATTTTTTTTTATGTATATCTATATCCATATCCATATCAATATCTATGTGTATGTTTAATTATATAGTGTGGGGCAGTAAGAACATCTTATGTAACTATTTTATGTTTATTTAGGTATTATTTAGCATATCTTATATTAGTACATTTTTATTTTTTTAGATCATATCACTTTTTTATTTTTTACACATCTTTCAATAGAACATGGAAAAAATATTCTTAGTTAAAGCATTGCAAACACCCTCTTAGAGTGTGGGGGCAACTATGAACACCCCCTGTATCTATTTTATATATAAACATATATATATATATATATATGTTTATATAATTTAAACGGGGCGAGGGGTCAGGGCCGGGGCTAGAATATGTATCATCGTCCCCGGCCCGAATATCACCGGGAATTTATTTTTGAATACCATCTCCGGCCCGTTGAGAGTATTTTTCGGGAAAAAACCTTTGTGTTGGATTCTCTCCAACTGGAGCTCCGAGCTTAATGTAGCTCCGAGCTCCTCTTTATTGATGTACTCTTCTTTTATGATTTCATCAATAAAGATTTGCTGATCCAAAAAAAAAAATAATAATAATAATAATAATAATAATAATAAATGGTAAAGTTATATTTCTTTTTCTCTTTAATAACTATTGTACGGGGAGGAAATATTTATCGCTCTCCGTACTTCTTGAGTTCAATTTCTGTGTTGCTCTGAGTAACGTTATTCAACTTGAGAATAAAACGACGGTGAGTTACTTGGCAGGTGTGCAGGTGGAAAACTCCTCTAACGATCGAATTAGCACACTAGGAGAAGAAAGAAGAGAGAAAGGAGACAAAAGACATGTAACTCTAATAACAAGAATTCTAGACTTGTTGCATGGAGGCGTCACGCAGTTTATATAATTTCTACATGCACCACTGTAACGCTCCAACCCTTCACATGTCATCAATATTGTCCACTTTGGGCCACGCCCGCACGGAGTTATTTTTCTCAATGGATCACCCATCTTAGAACTACTCCAGCCTAAGTACACTTAACTGGGGAGTTCTGTTAGAGATTTCACCACCCTAGAAAAGGTCTTGATGCTATATAAGGATTCAGGTTTTTACTTTTATAGCACAGGAACTCTCCCTCAATTCCCAATGTGGGACACCGGGATCTTACAATAAACCAAGAAATGTTGTTGAGAGGGTTTGAACCCAAGATCTAAGCCCACCATATTTGTATTTTTATTTTATCTATTTTAAACTCAATTTATATTTAGTTGCCTACAGGAAAAAAACTAAATGTCACCGTATCTCGGGAAGCTACCCCTTCGTCTCGGTGTGGGTGGAACTACTTGTCTTGTCCCGTAATAAGAATTAAATATATTTTTGTTTGTGTTTGGTAGACACGTAGGTGTCAAATCTTATACTCATACCAGTGTACTTGTATACTGACCCGTTTTGTCTCTTGGCATATTGGGTGCGTTCTGTTTGAGCGCAACTGAGCTTCTTTTACATGATTAGTTAGGACTACGATGGTGACGAAAAATAACTACGATTGTAGAACATGTCTTTCGAACTTCTTTTGTTTTCTGGAGTTTAGTATTGATATTAGTTTATTTTTATTTTTTTTTGTGACCTTAGTATTTTGACCATTTGGCACTGTGGGTTATTTTTCAACTTTACATTATTTACGTTGTTTTGACTAGTTGTTGCTACTTTAATATTTGAGGTATTGGATAGTTTAGTTGGTGTTTATTAATTTTCTTTTTAATCCCTTGTATTTTTTTTTTTTTTTGAGCATTAAAATTTAAATTAACCTTATGGAGACGACAACATTTAGATTTTCTTTCACTCCTTGGATTTGGATGATGGAATATTGATTGGAGTTTAGTTCTAATTTAATATTTAATTGTCTAAATTTTGGGACCTAACAACCACTCTGCTCGTCTTTTCCTACATACGTAGAGGTACTATCCCCTCTTCATCTTACACATGTATGTGACAATATAGTCAAATCGCATCGACAAAATAACTTAACGGTATTGATGCGCACGGATGGTAGGATCTTCCCCTCAACTCCTGATTGGGCTATATGGCAACCTCTGCCGAGCTACCCTTAGCGTGATGCTGCAATCCACCTTTGGAACCGCACTATTTGCTCAATCCTGTCAAATGCCCACAACAAATGCTTCACCGAACTCTTCAGCTCGATTGCTCCCACGATCGGCTGAGCCTAATTCATCAAGGACAAATCACATCCAAATGGAACCTCGTTCAAGTACGTGATCCCAATTCGACCAAGCTAGCACTTTGGCCTAATCCACTTCGGGCCGTTCTATCCCAGACATGCAGTCCCCAAGTCTGGCTCAAGCCCAAACTAGCTCGGCCCATAAGTTCGGCCTAAATCCCCCTCTCAACTATATAAGTTAGTGATCAATATTTTTAATATGGTATCTGTGGCCATGTTGATGATATAATATAAATAATAAAATTATTTGTCTCACTTTTACAATTTTGAATTTTACATGAAATGGTGGTCAATATTTCAATAGCCCATGTCCCAAATAGAGTTCACTTATATCATACTTTAAGATTCTAGTGTATTGAGATTTTGATGTCATTCTATGATTGTGAGTAAATTAGAACAAGGACACACGTTTTTTTGAAAGAAAATATCCAACCGTCACTTCTTGAGGCATAGGAATCTCAACGCATAATTCAACAAACGTGAGTATTGTTTCGAGGCAGGGACAGTGTATCTTCTGCTAGAATTTAGGTTAATTTTGCCAAATAATTTTGATCTTCAAATGTTCTGCATGCCACATTAAATAAAAAAGATAAGGCCATCTGATTAATTTTTTTTTTAATGATGTTTGTTTGTTTGCTTAGTGAGGCTGCTGGATAAAACTCATTCACGGAGTCCGCCACCTTTTCTGTCTCTTCTAGAGAGCATGACGTACTTCAAGAGAGATCTAACCAGGGGAGCCAACTTTGCATCTGGAGGCTCTGGAATTCTTGATTCAACTGGGAATGCTACATATGTAATCTTTCTTCTTCTTCTTCTCTCCCTCTCCTTTTTATTATCATACACTCAAAATTTCTAACTTTTGTTATAAATATTTTTCACTTCAACATATAAACATTTTAGGAATTAAACTTTTTGTCCACAAAAATAAAATTTGGTTAGAAAAAAAATATATATTAAAAGACCACTTTCAATCCACACAAAAAGTTCATTTTGAAAAGTTAAATAAAAATTGCATTTTCTGAGACAACAATTTCATACCAAAGACTTGTTTTTTTTGAGAGAAAAGTTTGGGTACTAAAACAATAGTAATTCATTATTACTTTTGTCACAAATTATTTGTCTGACACAAAAAATGTTACTTAAAAGTAACATATTCTCATGCCAAAATTTTGAATTTGTTTTTCATATATACTTAAAGAGATCTTTTAATTGGTGCAAAAGAAATTTAAAATTTTGTTACAAGGTTACAATATTTTTAAGTTCTCATTTTTTATTTATTTTTTATTTTTTGTATTGGACAAACAATTTAGGACGGCAGGAGTCAGTGGCAGAACTGGGATTTTGATTTATGGGGGGCACCATTAATCCTTAGCAATATTAATTACCAAACTTAACCAAATCTAATTTTTATTTGGTGATAGAATGACCAATGATCAACGTGATATGAAAATTATGTACCTTAGATATGTTTTAATTAACCGATTCTTTTTTATTTACTATTTTAGTTACTAAATATGATGATAATCACAATTGAAGAAGAAGAAGAAGAAGAAGAAGAAGATAGATGTAGAGAAAAACAAGAGACAAATGAGAGAGATAGAAATAATTATAAGAGAATATTTTGATAAAATTAAACATTTATAATGGTAAATTATAAGGAGTTTATTAAAAGGAAGGAGAAAAAAGATGATATATAAACATTTTAAAATATATTTGAAAATTAAAAGGAAGTTAAATGAAAAACTTTTTTCTAATCAGAGGTAAAAGTGTAATTTTTAAAAAATGAGAGGGGGCACATGTCCCTCTAGACCCTTGTAGCTCCGTATTCCTAGTAAGTACCAAATATTCAATTTTATCACTAAAAGTAAAATAATGACATTTTTAGCAATTAAAATATTTCGCTCATAAATTATTTTCTCTAAAACCTTAATTATTTGTTTGGTTTTTTCAAGATACATATAACACTTTTTATTTGAAAATTGTAAGGCAAAACTAACTTGAGAATTTACATATATAATTACATGTATGGTTGTTTGTTGAACAAACAGAGAAAGGTGGTCCCATTAGGAGAGCAAATCCAACAATTTTCAACAGTTCGGCCAAACATAACAATAATATTGGGTCCAGACAAAGCGGATAAGCTGATCTCAAACTCCTTATACCTCATAAGTGTTGGAGGGAATGACTTCTTTGATTATCAACGTTACAACAGCACCACAATGCTTCCTGAGACCTTCATGACCATTCTCCTCAATGCCTATGCAACCCATTTGGAGGTCCCAATTCTTATACCCCCTCTCTCTCTCTCTCTCTCTCTCTCTCTCTCTCTCTCTCTCACAGTTGATATTTGAATACGTGCTAAGTACTGAGAAAATTTATTTAGAAAAATACTCAGAAAATACAATGAATGGTTGAGATTTATTTCGTGTATCAGTGTTATTGTACAATAATTAGATCTAAGTCACACATCAATTTTCTAGAATATTTTTTTGAATTGTTAAGCTTCATGATTTGAATATACTAATAAAGCTGTGTTTGGATTTTATATTTTTCTTCTTTTTTAAAGGGTTGGTCTACTGGTCAAGGTTTGGAGTCTGAGGGTGTACTCCTTCCATAGTTTCAAGATCGAAACTTCTAGAGTACAAATAATTTATTGGGGTTAGTCCAGACAGGGTTTTACCCCGACTTTAAATGGGCCTTCATGAGTGGACGGTGAGATTGATTTTCCGAATTAGTTAGTCCTTAGGGCCGGAGACTGACCTCTTGAAATTTATAAAATATGAATTTTTTCTTATAATTTTGAAAATTACAAATTTTTCTTTGTCATAATTTTTTATTTAATATAATTAATGTAAAAAAATGAAATTTTTGATTACTCTCCTATACAACAGTAAACTTATTAGAATTGATAATTGAAATATATTTATAATATAATTAAAAATTATTAATTGTCTTAAACATTTATAAATAAAAAAGGTACCAAAATTGTCAATTAAAATATATTTATGACATAATTGAAAATTATTAATTGACTTAATGGTTTATTAATAAAATGGGTCATGTTTTATGTGATTAAAAATTTGAAAGGTTGAGATATAATTTTCAAAATCACTAATCTTTATTTTAAACAAATTTCAAATAGTATATTTGTAATTTACCCTATTCTAAATGTATTGTTTGTTAATTATATATAAATCATTTTTTTTTTCCTAATTAGATATTGTTGTTAAATTGGCAGGATCTTTACACCCTAGGAGCCAGAAAATTTGCGATAATAGGTGTTCCCCCAATTGGGTGTTGCCCAGCTGAACGTGTTGTAAATCTAAAGCTAAATGGTAGTGATGGATGTTTTGAGCAAATGAACGACTTGGCTCGATCTTTCTACAATGCGACTGAGACCCTCTTGAATTCCTTCACCTCACAATTCCAAGGAGTCAAGTACTCACTCGGCAATGCATTTGACTTGACCATGACTATCATCAACAACCCATTAGTATTTGGTATGCGTTCTTCTCTAGTAATATAAAAACGATTTTATTAACGAGTGCCTTAAGGTTTATTTAGTTGGATGATTTAATAAGAAAAATGAAAAAAAAAAAAAAAAAAAAAAAAAGAAAATCAAAAAAGAAAAGAAATGAAAAGAAAAGAAAAATTTTTTTTTTTTTTTTTTTTGGATACAGAAAAAGTTTAGGAGGAGGGGAGGCTACCCCATTCCAGGGCCAAAGAAAGCGTTAGGCAATATCGCCCACCAACAAAAGACTGCCGGTAGCAGGACTCGAACCTAAGCCAAATGGGTGAAGGGAAAAAAAAAAATGAAAACCCGTAATTGAACCCAAAAAAAAAAGCGAAATTGAATTTCCCTCATTTCTTTTCCCCTATGGTTTCCATAATAACTAAACAAAAAGTGAAATTGTGTTTCCTTTTATCTTTCTATTTTTTTTATTAAATCTTTCAACCAAACGCAATCTAAGGACACTAGTTAAGGTTACATTAAATGAAGTCAACCACTTCCAATAGTATAGAATTTAGAAAAAATAATGAATGTTTTATTGGAAAAAATTTAATTCTTTTGTAATAAGACCAAAATATCCTTTTTCTATTGAGTAATTTTCTTTAAGGCCCGTTTTTCAACTATAAAATTTAAAAATTAAAAAAATTGAGTCAGTTTTTTTTTTTCCCCCATTAAACACGAAAGCAAATCAAAATCTATATATAAAAAAAAATCATAAAAAAATAAATTATTTTTGTCTTCTTTAAACTCTTACCAAAAAAATTCAAAAAATTAAACGCAAAAATAAACTCTTCCTTTTAAAAATCTAACTAAATCAAATTTTTTTATCTTCTATTTAAAAAAGAAAATGAACATTTTTAAAACATGGTTTTAGAAAATCAGTATTATTATTTTTTTAAAAAATACGTTTTTTTATGTTATTCATTGAAAAATGGTATGGTAGATAAGTTATATTATAGAAGTTTAATTAATAACTTTAAAACTAAAAATGCAAAATAATAATAATAAGTAAAACATTATTTTTTTCAACCAAACATAAAAAATTACCTGAAAAGTTTAAAAAAAGAAAAAAAAAATTATTCAAAAGAAAGAGAATATTTTGATCTTATTACAAAAGAATTAAACTTTTTACAGTCAAACATTCATTTGTTTTTCTAAATTCTATACGAGTGAAGTGAAAGTGGTTGACTTAGTATAACATTAAGGTTAAATTATTATGATAGTTCCTATATTTTTTGACCTATAAATTTAAACTTAATCATCTATCATAATATAAATCATTCTCTCGCATAAGGTGGGTTTCAAAATATATATATATATATATATATATTTTGAGTTTCACACTCATATTAAATGATTGCGTACAATTTTGTGATTGATTTTTGTGTAAATAAAATAATTGATATAAAAACACATATCTTCCCTATACTATGCATTTTGCGTCATTTTAATTATCAATTTTGTAGTTTTGTCAATTTTATCCTTAAAGGTTTCAATTTTAGTCAAAATTGCTTAATTTGAAACATTCTTATAAATTATTAACTGAATATTAAAATACAATCATAGTCCTTAAAACATGTGTTATGTGTGGCTTGAGTCCCTAAAGTTTGGTTTTTTTCAATTTTGTTCATAAACGTTGTAGTGTAAAGAACAAAAACATGAAAGGGATTAAATTGATAAAATTAAAACGTGGGAACCGAAACGAAATGGAGTAGACTATAAATGTATTTTACTACTAGTCCATGAACTATTTCAATGACTCATTTGAAATTGAATCAACTTGACTCAATTTGAAAACTTTAGAAAGGAAGACAAAATTAAAGTTTGAAAAAATCAAAATGACAACTCATTTTAAAAATCAATAGCTGCATTTAATCCCTTATATTATGAACCACAAGAAGCATACTAGGTATCGACGAAGATTAAACAAGATCAATCTAATTGGTTTTTCTATAATTTGAACTTTTTTTTTTTTTTTTTTTTGGGATCGGCCTATAATTTTGAACTTGTTAGGTATCAAGGATGTTAAAACAGCTTGTTGTGGAAATGGAACACTCAATGGAGAAGGGCAATGCACACCATTGGCGAACCTATGCCCTAATCGGGAAGAGTACTTGTTCTGGGACTTTGTTCATCCGACTCAAGCCGTCTCTTGGTTAGCTGCCCTCACCCTTTATGGTGGAGCACAACAATTTGTGACCCCTATGAATTTTAGCCAATTAGCTCCCATTGACATCTAAGAGGACAAACACTCCCTCTCTACAGTTCTCTATACCAAAAATCTCTATCCTTCTATCCTTATTACACTTATGTATCATCACATTTCAATTGTCACAAACAAAAACATTGATTATCAGCCATATCTACACTTAATCTTCCTAAAAGAGTGTTGGCTTGTCTTTGTCTCATAAGTGATGGATGGTCCTTTGATTGTTAAGATACCTTGGAAATGCAACTTCTTTAGTTTTGTCTCCCACTCTATGTTCATTTGCTTCAAATTTTGGCTACTTAGTTTTTACACTCGTGTGTATCCTGTCCAAATACTTAAGGAAAATTCCAATTGGTATACATATAAAATAGGTAAAAATAAAAATATGCAAACATGTGTGAGAATATATGAAAAGTATATTGAAAGTTTATTATTTTAACATTTTAACAACAGCTTTAGCATGACCCAATTTTTTTAAGCAGTTCTATAGATCACAAAAGTGTGACATCGATTTTTCCCACCAAAACATGATGGACAATTAGTTCAGTAAAGCCCACCTCACTTTTTTAATAATTATAATAATAAACAATGGCTAAATGCAAATTCATTGCATCAGTAGATTTATTAAATTCTAATTTGTAGAAGTAATGTGTGACATCCTAGCCCATGGACGATGAATTTTCATTTTAACTTTATTAGGTCCAAAATCTAGGAAGAACTTCAAGGCCAAAGCATTTGCCATTTTTTGATGAAGTCTATGAAGCAATCCTTCAAATTTCATGTGTTTGAACTTACAAGAATTCTATTTATCAATGTTTGATTAATTAATGTTTTAGTATTCACATGCTTAGCACAACCATTGTGGGTAAGAAACTAAGCACTCACATGAGGCTGAGGGGTTGGTTGTTTGGGTGCGAGTAGTAATAGTAGGGGTAGTTTGTACTTTCCGAATCTCTCTCGATGCACTTCATCTTCCTGTACTCTTAATTTCATGTTGTTAATGAAATTTTTCTTTGCTGATCAAAAAAAAAAAAAAAACATGTGCTCATAGCAGCCCTTTTGTCATTGGACTTTTGAGCATGTAGTTAACAATGTTGTTTCTTCGATAGCAACTCCACTTAGGTATCTATATGGGAGTGTTGGCTTCTTGAAAGTCAATTCAAGAAATGTGTATAGAATAATTATGTAAAATAATCTAATTATTTAATAAATAACATTCAAGATAATTTTAATTGTCATATGTACATTGTGTATTATTGTTGACCTGGCAACATCATTGAATTAAAGTTTTTTTTTTTTTTTTTAAATGTTCTTAAGAGTTAAAAATATGAGACATGCACTTCTTAGTATTTCATTCTTAAATGTTTTTAGTCATGAAATTATTACTAAGGCCTATTGTGAAAAACTACAAAAAAAATAAACTCTTCTCAATAATTTTTTAACGTCTTTTCGTAAAAGATCAAAAAGACACTTAAAATATTAATTTTCAAAAGAAAAAGTCTAAGAACATAATAAGTCTCAAACAGATAATACATGGATGTGACATACATATTTGCAACTATAGATGCAAACATTTTTTGTTTCATAATTGTGTATTCTGTGTTTGGAACTTTTTGTGTTTCTAGCATCTCTCTTCACCAAACAATCCTTAAACAAACTTGTGGATATTTGTTAGAAACAAGTTCACTGAACATGATCACTTATGAATATCGATTAATGAGTTTTAAATTACACCCGCACAAGTTATATCGGTTAGATTGAACAGTTTCTATAACTTATTTGCTCAATAAGAACACGTATGATGGAATGATTAAATTGTATGGTAATTGTAAATTAAAGGGGTCAACTTGTTAATTCATAGTATATGTAAGGTGATCATTATAAGCTATAAAGTATCACTTACGATTTGCCATGAAGTTTACTAAAATGATTTTATTTATGTTGTGACACAATATTATGTCAAAGAATTTACCGATGAATCAAATACACATGACAACGCTACAAAACTTGTTCTCACCATGTAGATGTTAGCATGCAAGACTAAAGAGAAAATATGTTCAAAGTTCAATTAATTTCATAACAACCACAAATGATAAACAATCTACAAACGATACATAAGATACAATATTCTCCATGACGACTCATGAATATCTGTGATCTCATAGTTTGATTAAGATTATAGAAAAGTGGATCCACAATCTCTACAATAAACACATAAAATTAAATAGATAATCTCAAACTGTACTTACTATCAGTAGACCACCTAATCCTCATGATCTGTGAAACACACATGGAGAAGAATTATGAGCTTCGAAACAAAACAATTTCAATAAACAAAATAATTTGTTAACAATATGATTAAATATACCATAAGTTCAATGATCCAAAGTTAAAACCAATTTAATAATTCAATACAACAGTCTAATATTTGACGGTTCAATACACAAATTCTTTTTCTTTTTTTTTCTATTTTTAAACTATGGCCACCTTTGACCATGGCAAGGCCTAAAATCACTTATAGCTTGATAAAGTCACTTATTTTGGCTTCTTTTTTTCCCCATATTGTAGAGGGTGAATCTCAAAAATGTTAAAGATTTCCCTCGTAAAAAATAGTTTGTGTCAATATTAATTTACCGCCATTGGTTTTAGGTCAGCTAATTCTCATTATCTATGAAACACAAGGTTTATGAACTAGAGAAACTAGTAAGTCAACAATTACCAATTGTTCATCAATGAAAGAACACACTAACCCTATGTTAACCCTATTCATGATTTCATGCATGAAACATAAACACAAGGGCTTAGGGCTTTCCAAGAAAGTGAATCTTGATGTGTGACTGAGCCCTCCATAGCCTCTCCTTTGTCTCTCAAGGTAGGGTCTTCCTATGTGATGGTATGGTGATTATGGTTTCTTTCTATATGACTAAGGAACACAGTTTTGTAAGGTTAATAAGAAACCTATTCACTAATTAGTTTTGCTAAGATGTCCCTCTACCAATATTAATTGGTAACACTCTCTATTATGAGTAATTATTCTATTTTCTGAGAATACTTGTTGATTTTGTGTCCACCCAATAGTAGGGTCCAAAAAATAAAAGATATAGTGGACAAATCACAAAATACTATTAGATGGGCTAAAAGGGCATACAGCTATATGATATTTCCGACTTGCTGTCCGTGGTACTGCAAACTTGCTTGATAATTTCTACTCTCAGAAGAATAATTGTTACCATGACATTAATAACAATGCAAGCTTGTCATTGAAAAACAAGAGGAAAACTACTAAGAAGTTTAAAATTTACTTTGAAATCAATTCTGAAATAAACAAGTAATCACTGCTTTATGGTGGGATAATTTTGTTGCCAAATAAATCACAAAAAATCTAGATTAATGTAATAACTTCTGATATACTAAGTTTACATCAACAGATTACCATATTAACTTTGAATCTGTGATACATAAGTAATCAAGCTCGATTAGGTTGTGAGATGTACAATAGGACGATAGTTTTGTTGTCAAATAAATCACATAAAATTAATCACAAACAAGAAAACTAAACTACTATAATAATTTCAAATATACCAATTTTACATCAACATATTATCATAATAACTTTGAATCTGCAATACCAAAGTAATCAAGCTCGATCACATTGTGAGATGTACAGTCGCAGGATAATTTTGATGCCAAATAAATCACACAAAATCAATCACAGACAAAAAAGATAGATTACCATAATAACTTTAAATCTTAATTAAGCTCGATCAGGTTGTGAGATGTACAAGGTACAATAATTTTGTTACCAAATAAACCACATAGAATCAATCACAAACAAAACAAACTACATTATTGTATTAACTTCATTTATATTACGTTTACATCAACAAATTACTGTAATAACTTTGAATCTGGCGATATAGAAGTAATTGAACTCGGCAAGGTTGTGAGATGTTCAGCAGTAGAATAATTTTGTTGCTAAATAAATCATACAGAGTCAATCACAAACAAGAAAACTAGATTATTGTAATAACTTTAGATTCAGATATTCTAAGTTTACATTAATAAATTATCACAATAAATTTGATTCTGCAATACAAAAGTAATCAAGTTTGATCAGATTATGAGATGTACAATAATATTCAGGATCTACATTGATATTGTTAAGCTCAAAGTGAACAGAAGATCTAAAGGACAGTCATAATCTTCCAAACAACCAATTCAAAAGGAGAAATGTAAAGTGGGAATGTCACAAGTTACTAGAATCACCCAATGCACCCTGCAAACAATATTTCTCAATTGAATCAAACTCTCCAAAGGCTCCCTCCAAAAACCTATTTTCAGAACAACTCCCCATCTGATCCTCATCCTCCTCATCTCCCACCATTACTACCTCTCCCTTTGCTTTCTCATCTTCCTCCATAGCAGCGGGCACGTGACCTTCAAACAAAGTCATGTGCCCAACCAACTTATCCCTCCGCAAGAAGCTCGTGCCACACGAACACCTAAACCTGGACTCACCGCAGTGCTTGAAATGGCTCTTCAGATCAGCCAATACAGAGAAACTCTTCCGGTTGCATCGAGTACACGAATACATCTTCGGACAATGGCTCCTTCTATAATGATTCTTTGCGCAAACAACCGATTTCAATGGCCTAAATTTTTCGTTCAATTGGTTCCTCTCACATCCAATAAACGGACACGAAAACCGTGCTCTCTTCTTCCACAACTCGGAGCTCTTGGACTGGTTTTCGTGTGTTAGGATATGAATCCGCAAATTCGCATACCGCTTGAATTCCTTCCCGCAGAGATCGCAACAATGTTTTCGAGCACCTAACAGTTGCGCGGAACTGAACTCGATTATCTCCCATGGATCATCGCTTTCAATCGCTTCTCTGGTTTTGTAACCTCCATTGATATTCATCGTATGGTTCTCTAAGAAATTCAGATCTGAGGCGATTTCTTCTGGCTGAGTCGCGAGGAGCGCGGCGCCGTTGATGATGACCTGATCGACGGCGGAGGAGATCTCGTCGGAGACCATTTCGGACTGATGTTTGGTGAGGAGAGTGTTGTTGTTGATTGAATCGGAGAGAAATCGTTTGAGAGACTCCATTTTTGACTGGATTGTTGAGAGGTTGAGGAGGATGGGGATGCGAGGGTCGGCGCGCCGCCGGACTGCGGCTGCCGGGAAATAAGTCCGGTGGAGGCGGCTGGTGGTTGTGGTGGTGGATTGTGAGTGGGGTCTGGGTTTTTGGACAATGCACTAGGGTTTGACATCCTTGCTGCGAATGATACGTGGTGAAGGGTTTGTTTGTGAAGCTTATTAATAAGGGCTTTTTACCATTTGTCCCCTAAGAGAGTATTAAATTACAATCAGCTCCTTAGAAGATTAAATGGATTGAATTGATGTGTAAAAATTGTAAAGAAAATTAATTAGCTTTCATAATCTATTTGATAAATTAGAGGAAATATTGAATTTTTAAACATCTTTCAGCTAAATTTGGAAAGTGAATTTTTATTTATTACTTACACAATTCAATAATCACTTTCCCAAAACTAGAAATCTAATTCTTCACTTTGCATGACAATCTCATATTTATAGAGAATGATAAATTTATGGTGGTAGTATGTAATTTTAATTGACTCGATTTTAATTATGAATTTATGATTTTATCTCAATTTGGTTCAATTGATACAATTTTTAGCCTTTTTTTATAAAAAAAATATACATAGAGGTGTCACGTGTCATATTTTTAAAGGCAAAATTATAAACTTACTCAACTCAGTTAGTTAATATCAACTAATTTAGTGATAATTTTCTTTAAAAAGTATTAACAATATTATTAATTTGAACAAATTGAAACAAAATATAAAATTAATAGTCAAAATTGAGTCAATTGAAAGTGTAGAGACCAAAATGATACAAAATATAAAATATAAGAATCACCTGTATAATTTGTCACATAGAGAAATATTAACAATTTAAATAATAAATAAATATATGGTGTCGCTATATTTAAAATTTTCTCATTTTGATGGGGAGTTTCTAAAGAAACCAAATGCAAAGTTAAAAATTTTCTTTTTTTTTCTATTTTTTATATATCTTTTCGTAAAAAATTAAAAAGTCATTCCGAATATATTAATTTTTTTATATCATATTTTAGCTAAAAAGTCAAAAAAATTACAAAAAAACATGTTCCCAAATGAGGCCTTAATGAGTTTCAAAACATGTCTAAACTTGACTCGTTTATATAATGAGCTAATCTTAAACGAGTTTTTAATGATCTATACACAAATCAAGCTCAAATAACTTGATTTTTTATAATGCATATATGATATCTAGCCGAGTAGTAAATTGTTCAAGTTTTTTTTTTTGATCAGCAAAAAAACTTCATTGATGTAAAAGCTAGTACAAGGTACGAAAGAAATTACACCAATAAAGAAAAGAGGAGTGCAGGAGCATCACAATGAGGTAAATGATCCCAACTAGGTTGGCACCAAAGAACCCATCCTATCATTTGCTAGCACCCCAAGGTTGGTGAGGAACCAACGAAAGAGACAGACCACAAACCAAACCAAACCACACAACCCGGACCTCACAAACCAGCTGAGTAAACAGAACAAAAAAAACACCACCCAAACAGATAAAAGTCTGTTTTAGCCAGCAGTCCACCCATGGTGGCAGATCAGACTAAAAACCAAAGCTGCTATGCTGTACCAACAAGCATAACAGATCAACATACACAGCCAGACTGCTATGCCGCACCAATATGCAGTCCATCCATGCTGCACCCAAGCTGTAGAAGTAGCAACAGCCACCATCTTGGTGCATACCCAACCCAGCAAGCTTAACAGCACAGCAGTAGTAAAAAATCTCCAGCAGGCTCAACACCAGAGCAGAACTTGACCCGCAGCTACCTATATATCCACCAGCAGACCAATATAACACCATAACAGCAGCCTAACTAGTAAATAACCCCTGTAACAGAGCATAATTCACCACTGAGATCCTAGACAGCACCTGACTTGTGAAAAATTAAACACTATATCGTTGACTGAGAATGAAGCATCCCTGAACTGGGCTCTCATCCAAATTGCTAACCTCACCTTGATACATTCACACAGAACCTGATAATTGGGCTGGACTGCCTTAAACACACACTCATTTCTATAACTCCACACAGACCACAACACTGCTGCTGGAAGAGCCTTCCATACCAGGTTAACTTTCTTCCTAAACTTCCAACCCATCCACCAGAGTAAAAGGCCATCTATGGATCTGGGAATGACCCACTGAATACCCCACCAATCAATAATATCAGACCAAATTACGAGTTTTTAATGATCTATACACAAATCAAGCTCAAATAACTTGATTTTTTATAATGCATATATGATATCTGGCCGAGTAATAAATTATTTAAGTTGACTTGAAAACTCAACAAACTTTAAAATATGATCAAACTTAATTTGTTTACGTAACGAACTAATTTTAAGGAAATTTTTAACAACTCAAATATGAGTCAAATTCAAATAATTTGATTTATTTTACAACTTTAAGCATGGTTTTCATATTTTTTACACTTCTTATGTATCCGTTTGGTGTTGTTTATTGGGGTTGCTTGTGGCCTTTCTATTTTGTTAATTTGGATTACTATAACTAAACATATTTCTCGTACCATGTACAGATATAAATAAATAATTGAAACTTAATTTCAAAATTAAAAATAATAATATAAAATTTACTTTTATTATGTAGTAAAAATGATTTATAATCAATTAAATTTTATTGTGTGTTCTAAGTTCTTAATAAAAAAAAAATAAATTTCATAATTTAATTGGTAAAAATAAAAATTATATTTACAATAAAATATAAATACATTTCGTTTTATAAGTTTTGTAATTTTAATTTACCATATAATAGTAGTAAATTACATTTGTTAATATACTAATTTTTCTTATTTTGTAAAACTCAAAAATTTGTCTATTCAAAATTATAAATTGTCGTGTGTCATAATGCTTACGTAAAAATGGATTAGGATTGATTTGTGGTGTTGGACTAAACATTAGAAGTGACCTAAAAGCTACTCGACTCAATATTTAATGTGACCTTCACCTAATTTTTAGAAATTGTCTTTATCGATTCATGTCTGGTATGAGTTAGTTTGGAGATTCCAATATTGGATTAAATATTAAAAATTAGCCCAAAAAATTCTAATTTGAGCCTCTTTATTTTTCTCAATGATTCTAGGTTTAGGCTATAATACATCATATGTTAATAACTCAATATCATTTAAAAAAAATAATAATGATATTAATGTTTACGGTGGTTTTTATCAATAAAAAAAATTATAAATATTAAGAGAATAACATTTGAACAAATTCTAACATAAAATTTTTACTTTAAAACTTTATGACCTACACATTTTTTTTTTTTTACTCTGTAAATAATTTTTAAGATAGCAATTAAAATAAATTTCAATCATTATTATATAGAGAGACCTATGTGATAAGAGTTTGTAGCATACAATTTTAAAAAGTAATATTGATTCAAAATTTTCAATATGAAAAATATTTACCCAACTTTATATTATGTTTTATTCATGAATTTGGGTAAGAATTTCAAATGAAAAAAGAAAAAGATAGGTGAAATGTGAATAAAATATAACTTTATTTTACCTAACTTTACATTCCTTTTCATTTTTCCTCTCTGATGATACAGTTACAATACAATGGGTCCCAGGTGGAATGGGTCGGACAAATCCACGCTTCTTCAACCGGTAACTGAGTGTTCAAGCCCACCAGAGAACCTGCACACAAGTTCAACAGGGGAACGGGGAGTCCCCCAGCGAACCCTCTGACGAGCAAGTTAGAGAGCGAGAAGTGTAATGTAGAGATATGAATTGGAGATAGAAAACTTAACCTTCTTCTTGTCTTCAACGTTTGCTTATATCCGTTGGTAATCATTTCATCGTCCCTTCCGACCTGCCACCTTGGCCGAAAGTCTATGCTGTCATTTACCTTGTTCAAGGTGAGGGGGTGTTGTTCTGACGGAGAGGTGTTGTTGTAATAAATGCTGTGATGGACTGCATTAATGGCGATGTGCAGTGGCAATAACTTTACAGATCTTTGTCTGCTGATGTGGCTTGTCCTTTACCTGCCACATGTCTGAATATCATTGGTTCTTCGTGCCATGTTGGCTTCCAGCTGTTCAGGATCTCATCAGTTGGGTTACATGTTGGGCTCTAAGTGATAGGCTTGGGTTGTTCATAGTGGGCTATGACCTTTGTGAGCCTAACCACGTCAGTAGTCCTCCATTCCCAAGTGCAGCTTTAGCCCAACAAAGGGAATACTAATGGAGAAGATGAGGAGGACCGACCGTGAAGGGTGGCCGAGTGGAAGGACCGACCATGAGGAGGACCGACCGCGAGGGGTGGCCAAGTGGGAGAGCCGACCATAAGGAGGATCGACCGCGAAGGGTGGGCAAGTGGATGGGCCGACTATGAGGAGGACCGACCGCGAAGGGTGGCCGAGTGGAAGGACCGACCATGTGGAGGACCGACCACGAAGGGTGGCCGAGTGGGAGGTTGTGGTGGGGGGACGCGGGGCTCAAGAGGCGGCATGTCACGTGATGACTCGAAGTGGAAAAGACAGGGTAAAGGGAGGTGGTAATGAATCGTGATCGTACACGTGGCAGCATCTCATGAGGAAAGAGATTAGGCGTTGGGCCAGAAATGAAACGATAGGTCATGATGGGTGTTGAAAAGACAGTTTTGGCGGATGTTTTTGAAAAGTTTTCAAACTGGCAAAAATTAATTGTGACCCTTGGAATACGGGCAAGTCTTGCGCTTTTGGGATTATTCGATTTACTTACTTCTTTGAAAAAAATCAAAACATTCAAAGTGTTAACTCCTTTGTTGCTGACAATATACCTCTGCAACATTTCCTGAATTTTCTTACACCCGCTTCCGAAGCTATTCGTAGGCACACCACAGAGATCGCTCAAGAAGAAGCTGGAACCGCCAGGGTTGATCCGTTTGGGGATGACGACGCAATAGAGCTGGCGGAGTAGTACCGGATGGAGAGACAAGTGGAGATGGTAGGGGAGCCAGTGGTACAATCCCATTCTTCCACCATGATAGCAGCTCCGAAGCCAATCAGCCAGGTGGAACCAGATCACTGGCATACGAAGGCTGACAAATCAACGGTTACTGCGGCGAACTTGGAGTTTATACGCGAAAAATACCAGGTTCCCGCTGAAATAGAGTTACTGATGCCATCGTCAACG